TGGGTTATTTCCTACAGGAGAAGTCGACAAGTTTCAAAAGTAACTTAAAATACATTTTAGGCACACATAGTGGATGAGGTAAATATGAGACTGAAGCTGGGCATGAATCAAATCTTTTTGAGGGCAGCAGTTTGAGACAAGGAAAAAGAAACCCCCCCCAAAACATTTTGCCAAAAAATATTTACAATATAATTACATCCTGCTTTGTAAGCCAGTAGGGGGTCAGTAGAATATCTGACATACTTGTGACTCATATTCTTTAAGGGAAACTTCTCTCTGCTCCAACTACAGGAACAGAACCCACCAGGACCTCGGACCGACTTGGAGCTTTCAATTGTTATCACTAAAGTCCAACAACGCTTAAAAAAATTGCTTGATTTGTTGCTACAACAAAAAGATAAGTCACTACAGGGGTGTAAAAGCTCCCATTGTTTTCATGACCTTGAAAGCTTGCTCATCCAGACTCCACTATCGCAAGACTTAAGTCTTGCTATTGTGTGGAGAATTGATTGCCTCTATGATTTTTGCATTTTGTTAAATGTAATTATATAGGTAGTGCAATCAACTGCCAAAGCCTAGTGTGAACTGATTAATCTAGTTTTAACTGAGCTCAGATAAAAGAAATACAGGACTGGAATATGTATTTTTTTAATACCGTTAATCAAATGACAGTTTATCAGGGGAAAAAAAAAAAAAAGGGTCACTAACAGAAACCGTGAAAGAGGCAAGAACAGGGTGTGAGAAACACGAGGAGGGATAGATAATCCCTGGATTCAAAGTGAATTTAATCTGTTAAGCTTGTAGCTCCAAATTAATATTGTTAAATGCATTTTTTTGTTTTTACCAAATATTTCTAAACTGTTATATGGGAGGAGGTTCTTAGTTATGGTTAAATCATTTTGAGAAGTTTTTACATCAATCATTTACGGGAATTCTTGGCTGTCTTCATCTAAGCCAAACTTGAAGAGTTGGGCAAATCCAATCAAAGTTAGTGGCGGTGAGAGTTTCAGAAGTTATGATCAAATATTTCAAAACATGATAAAACATGGTTTAATTTGGAAACGTGGACTCCCACGCATGCGTCAGACCTACCGTCTTCCTTAAAAAAAAAGCAGACATTACAGTCAGCAACTGCTACTTTGGAAGCCATGACTGGACTCTTTCTGACTATGGGCTATTATTTGGATAAAAAATAGCCATCTCCAAGATATCCCACAGAAGTCAAAAATCCATTTATCTTAAGATCCAAGGCTTCAGAGTTGGAATCCGATGGTTGCTGTCTTAAGCTCCTCACTTTTAAAGCTTGAAAAAAGCAAGCGGTAACATCACAGCTCAACTGACCTTCTTTACTGAAAATTCTAAGTTTGATCTAAAATGGGAAAACTGCACTAATTTCCAAAGTTAGCCCACATGAGAAAAGAAACAAGCTAGGTCTTGTTGGATAGAAAAGAGATTCAAAAAAAGGTTAACAATCCGTTGATCAACATCTATTGCAGTACAGTGAACACTAATCTTTTTCTGCGCATGCACACATATCTGCGGTGAGCTACGGTTTCAGACAGTCATTCAAGCTTAACTTTCTCACCGCTGTTCTTTGAAAATGGCCGAGGGTCGTAACAGAAAAAGTGTCTATGAAGTGTATGAGAAGAAAAGAAAGGCCTCAGAAGAGGCAGATATATCCCAGAATGCTTTGCACGGAGAGCTTTTCTCGCAAAGCATTATGGAATTTGCTGTCACAGCGGCACACTGTTGCAACACGACAGCCTATGGCAACTAACAAAAATGGCGCAGGCACCACGCCGAGTAGGATTTACGTGATCAAAGGAGGAAAAAGCAGTGATCTGTCCAAATGGTCAGTTACCTGAGTTCGCTATAAAGTCCACTATATCTTCCCTGCTACATGTGGACACAATAAGCTTGTATGAGCTATGAGAACAGCACATTTTAAACAGGGCGTGTACGACAAAAGTTGGCTTGTGCACATGCATTTATTTATTTTTTTAAGTGGAGAGGGCAGTCTTTTAAAAACTCCTCCACAATACCTTTAAATGTTTTCACTTGAAATCTGAATAGAGCATATTGACAAACGATTTTTTTTAAAATCTTAGATGCAAAATGTTTATATACTTTACAATACTGGCATAATTACTACTCTAAGTGGGCTGCTCTATCAAGTTATGTTTTAGTCTCTATATTGCAGTTAACTATTAATCCTTTACTGAATTAGTTGACAATTATTTTAATTATCGATTAATAAATAAGATAACCTATCTAATGCAAAAGGGGATCACATCCCATTCAGAGGAACTCTGAAGAGAATTCAAGTAAAGAAAAAAACAACCAACAGAAAAGCGAAGATAAATGTGAGACAACAAAACCTCAGGAATAAACTGAATATTTGTAACAGAAGGTTAAGGGTCTAGATAGTGGGAGGACGTTTTTTATACACCATCAAGATAATAGCTTATCATAACAACACAGTTACGATCTCTGAGTGATACTGAAAATATAGTGAGATTAATGATGCCGTCTACATGCAAAGCTTTAACACAAGGTGGCTCTTATGAGAGAGACTCTTTGTATTGAGAGCAGAGCTGTTTAGTATTAGTATCAGCAGATAGCACTGGTGACAGACCTACAGGAAACACTGAACAGTCGGGGGTGAGGGGGTTTGTTGGTACATGTAGCAGGAATCTGTACATCTTAGATAGGACATCTGTTTCCATCTACCGCCACTTCTATATTATAGACATCATCTGTCCTGATCCATATATACTGCCCTTATTGGTAATATCAGATTTGGAAATATTAGACTTCAATGAATATAACTGTTAAGTTATCCAAAGTGGGAAGCTGTGTCTATACATAAAATTGGGTCAGAACCACATTTTAAAATTAACTACCTTTATAAAGTTCAGAATTTAACAACTATGCATTAAAAGAGCTAAAGCGTCTAGAATATTTTTCTTTTTATTCCAAGACCTAAATCTGCTTATGTTTAATGTACGCCCAGTCATGTCCACAAAAGAATAAGAGATGAGTTTAAGTAAAATTCTGAATTTATTTGGTATATATACCTCAAACTTCTACACTTATTATTATACGGAAGGCTGGATTTCAAGTCTAAAATTTTACAACTTTGATATAATTTGCATGAAAATATTAGCCTGGGTGCCATTCCGAACTTAGTCCCGCCCACAAGGTTTGAGGTTGGGAAGTTCGGTCTGGCTCTGCTCCATAGTAGCGCGAGAATTATCGCCCACTGTCAGGCGATCCAATCAAATTGTCAGGGCGGGCTTTATACTATGATGGACAGATGATCAACAGTAATGTAATCAACCACGTGACCAAAGCGCGCTTGGGTGACAACAACAATGGCTGCCGCCGGAGAGTTGAGGTGAGTAGATTCTGCTATTAGCTCTGTTCTAGAAGATATCGACAGCAATTTAATTTTAAAAGAGGAACAGAGAAACGCGATCAAGGCTCATCTTCTTATTCTAGGCATGAAACTGCACGCTTTAATTTTTGTTGACAACAACTATGCGTTGCTTAACATACGTCAAGCACTCCGTTGCTCTTATTGGTTGTACGTCTGTCCAATTGAGTGCAGAGGCATTTTTTTTCCTGGTTCGTTCAAAACACGCGCCATAATCACAGCTCTATGGAGCAGTATCAGACTCTGACTAGAATTGAGTAGGACTACGTCAGGCTATGAAAATGTGCCTCCTATGAATATTAATACCAGACCGACGACAAGAAATAAAAAAGTTTAAATAGAATGAAACGGGTTCGGCTAATGACCCTGCCTTTCAGTCATGTGCATTAACTATTACGCAAAATAAATTGGGCCTAAAAGAACAACATAAAAGATCACTGAATAAATGTGCATCTTTTTGCATATCTTTGCTTTTATCATTATATCTGTTGCATGCAGATATAACAATGTCTTCTTTGAAGTCCAATTCTGTCTTAAAAAGGTGGTAAAAGCAAATAAAATAAATCAGACAGTGGTTTGAATTGAAGGAAAAGCAGAGGAACATATTCCTTCACAAAGATAAATATGGTCGAGCTCCTATTTAGCTCAGCGTTCCTAAGCCGACTTTCCCTCTGTGCCATCAGACCTCCTGCTGAGATAAGAAATCTTTCCAACTCTCTTTGCTGAAAAAGCACAGATCTCCTGATAGAAGAGCAAAGCAATCCTCAGTGTTATATAAAAAATATTCTAAACCCACCATTGTCAGATGTGTACATCTCTGTGAAACAACAACGAAGCCAAGTCCTCCTACGTCAATGCAAAGCCTAAATTGTCTGTAGATGCAATTCATTAAGATGAAGAGCAAACGGATTAAATTAAAAACCCACAAAGTTGAGCTGAGTTGTAGACGTCTTCTTCGTAAGCCAACCCAATTCAATCAATGGGTAGCTTAAAAAAACAACTTTTCCCCACATCCATTTTGAATGAGAACTCTTTCATTTTGGATAAAAGAAAATAAAATATGTCAAAACTCCATTTTACTGTGGACCTGCACCAATCGGTGTATTACAGTGACGCTCAACAGGAAGCGGAGTATATCTGCTGATATATAAAAGGAGAAACTTTACAGTGCATATTTTCATAGGTTTAGTCATCATGACCACAATAAACCTTTAACATTCTTTAGGAAAGCAGAGACGCGAATATGTGACGCTCAGGGGGAAAAAACTTTACATTGATCAACAGTTTCTCTCATTTTTAGTTTGCCTTCACTGGTGCAGTGTGCTTTAAATCCATTGTAATGATTGCTGCATTGTTTTTGTTTCTAGGTGTGTAAATTGTTGGCATAATGGAAGGTGAAAATATTTAAAGTGGCTAATAAAACATATTTTTTGCAACTTTACAGATCTCCTCGGAAAACCATTGCTGATAATCCTGTTTTGATGCAGCACAAAGCCAGCAGATAAATCTCTTAGACTAACTTCGATAGGTCTTTGCATTAACCGATTAACCAGCCGATGCTTACCTTGAGGACTTCCCCACGTTTGAAACTAAGCTCATCATCAGCAGTAGCTTTAAAGTCGTATTTGGCGATGGCCTCCATGCTTTCTGTGGCTCACTGCAAAGCAACCCAGCTGTAGTTATTCTTCTATAACGAATTCAACAATTTATCCAGATTCCCGTGGCCCAACTCTTTTTCTCCGAGTCTCTCCTCCCGTCGATGACCCGTTCCTTTACGGCTTGGACCTTACATAAAGGTCACAGTGCAGTACCTGCAAACAAGGAAGCACAGGACGCTCAAACTGCTGCTTTGCAGTTCTACTGAATAGACAATTAGAGACATAAGGAAACACTGATAACCATGAGGGAAACTGTGTTTCAAAGAGCTCCCATTAACATACGCCAAAAGGCTTAAAGAAAGCTGGGTCTTCAGCCTTTTTCCAAAAGTCGTATGCGTTAAATTTTTTATATTGCTTGACTTTTTGCTGAAATAAAGACTGAATCTTTCAAAATTGCCCTGAATTGTTGACCATTTACAAATCTTAAAGGAGCAGAAGTAGAATTAGTTTGTAGTTAGTGTTACTAGGAGAAACCTCTCACAAGCTTTAGTCTTAAGTAACTTCTCAGTTAACATATAATTCCTCTTTTTGAAGTAGTCAAAAGCATTTCTTTGAAAAGCCAACAGTGACCCTAATTAGAGCTTTCCTTTTCATCTTTATCCTAAAGTAGATGCCGTTTATTAATAATCCACCCTTCGTACACATTTTGAAACAGTTTAAAATAAGACACCATCATTTTTAAACCACATATGCCATGAAATAGAATCTGAAGTTAATACCACATTAGTTCAACAACTGACTTTTTAAATTGCACTGGGAGTGCCGTGTCGCTGCGGTGCGAGATCTGTGTCCTGAGATCGCAGGAGGAGCGACAGCTTTTAGCCAGGGAGGTTAATCTACATTAACAGTTAACCGTTTAAAACACCCACCCTAGGTAGGAGGTTCCAGGAAGTTAAGTTCCAGGATAGTGGTGGAAATGTGTATTAATTACGTTTAACTGTTTAGAGGTACTGCTGGAGTTAATAAGGCAATGCTGCAGATTACTAACATGTTCCTGATATTACCTAGTTACACGCCCATTTTTACTCTACAGAGAGAATACAAAAGATATAGGGTAATATTCAGCAGAAAAAGCATGTTTACCTTATAAAGGGATTACAACATCTAGTCATAACTGAAATAATCAACGTGATGGATTACATTTAGCATCAATAACTGATGTTTTAAGACTTGTGTTAACCCATTATAGGGCAAGTTATCTGTTTTGATCACTTGCATACCCCTTACAAATGGAGTCCCCCCCCGTGCCTCAGTGAGGTCTAGAAGCACAAGATCTATATCCAGTCATTCAGCAAAGATGCTGTTTCATGCTGTACATCTTATTTTGGCATTTGGCCAATTAGATAAGCCCTTGAATGATATATTAACAACTGTAAATTAAGTTGGAAAAAAAGGTAAAAAGCTAATTGAAAACGTAAAAAGTAAAGTTCAAAAGTGAACCATTATATTTAGGTTTATAAACTAATAAATGTAAGTATCAGCATTAATGCCTCTAAGGTTATGTTGTACCAAAAAAATGTGTCTCTTTCACTATCAGTGTTTTTCATTAATTTCCTATAGAAGCACTTTTGTTATTTTTCTAAATATATTTGGGCAAGTTGGCGTTTCTTGTTTTTGACATTAATTTTTGCCATCAAAATGTGTTGCAAAGGTAATAAGGTCTTGTCCTTGATTCCAATAACACTATTGGCTAGAGAATTTGATTTTAAAAGTATTCCACTGATTTCCCTATAAATGGTTAACACCGTTTTAATCCAGTCTTAAAAACATTCAAAGCATATGCCGAAAACATAACAATTTCTAGAATAAAGACAAAATAAATCAGATGCATAATAGGAAAATGTCCCTCTTGACCACGTTTAATTTGTGAACAGCTGGGTTAAACAAACCTGCAGTCATTGCACCTACTTCCCTTATCAACAATAAAAATAAAAACAAATCCGGGAAAACAGCACAGGGTTCACTAAAAGCAGAGATAAATCCGTCATAGTTTCCTGCTAAGAAACCATCATATCTGACCAAAGAAAGTCAGCTGATCGTGCAGTAGAGAACGATACAGTGACTAAACCTAAAGTTGACGACTAGAGGGGATAAATGTGCTTTATCCCATTATGCAGTATTCTCCTGCGCTGTGATGGGTGCTGCTTTGATAAGATTTAACTAATACTCTACTCTAATGCAAATAAGCCCATTAAAGGGAACGCAGCTGTCAGATAAACAAAGATCCTAGTCTACAACACACTTTAAAACCATTTCTAGTTTAACCTCAGGCTAACATAACTTTTTACCGTAAAAAAACAAAAAATGACACGAAATAAAAACGGTTAACAACTCAATACACGTTTAATTACATAAAAACATTTATATTTATATAAATTTCACACCAAGGAGAGACGTAGAACATTAGTTACAGCATTACAAACGTAATGTCGGGAAAGAGAAGAGATAACGTAACCCCCTAGGATTGTAAATACCGACAGTATGGCCATAAACAGAATTATGTATCTTTTATTTTAGACTTTAGAGTGCGTTCAGATATAATCCTCTTGACTTTTTTTTAAGCGGGGGGCTTCAGAAAAAGATCGATCCCGTTCCAGGGAATAGACTGCGCCCACTGTTCTAGAACGTTTGAGTTAGCATGCCGGCTAACGGTCGGTCAACAATAACTGCGGTGTGATTCTCAAACTTACCCCTATCTATTTCCACCGGATGCCAATTTACTACGGAATTGTTTTCAAAAATCCTAGTGGAGGAGAAAAGAAAGAGGGAGGGAGAAAATTTATATTTAACTTAGGGCCCTACCAAGGAAACGTTGGCAATCGTGAAAAGGGAAGAAAACACCTTTTTTTTTCGTAGCGCGAGCTGCTGTTGCTAGCGTCAAAGCGCAGCTAGCTCTGCCGAACTTGACTAACCGTCAAGGAATTATCTTTACGTTTCTGTAAAATGAAACAAATAAGAGTATCTTACCACTTGTGATATTCCGTTTCGAAGCTGCCCAAGAAAGAAGCCAAACGCTGCCGTGCCTGTCGCTCTCACAGCTTCCTCTACTGATCCCCCACCGAATGATCACAGCTCTGTCCTGTGAGCCTGAAGCTAGCGGGGAGCACAGCGTTTATTTCCGCTTCCTTCCGTCACACTATTACTAACTTCTCATTTTCAGCTCCTCCCTGTCAAATTGTCTCTAATATGTTAGAGGGACTGAAACAAAGAACGCAAAAATCAACACATAAAAAAAGAAATTACATATAAGTATTTTCTATTTTTTTTTTACAGATTAAATACATAAACAGAATGATTTTTTTAACACTTCCTTTTTTATCATACAAATTTAAAAGCATTGATTAAATAAAAAATGATCAGAGTTTCCAATGATAATTAATTAATATTATTACAATTTTTGATATTACCCTTCTAAAATAATTTAAACTGTCATTATATTACATTAAATAGACCCTTTTATCTGATTGGCTAATCTGCACAACTCAACGGTTGACCAATCACCTTGACTGTAGCAGTGTTAGTCCCGCCCACTGATTTACTTTATAAAACTGATGGATAAATTCATCATGTGCTGCAATACTGGCCCAGAAAGTGATAAAAATATATGTATTTTAAAAATTATATATTTATTCATGCTTTAGTATATAATAAATTAAATTTGTTTTACATTTTTTTTAATTAAATAAACACCCCCTCCCTAATTTCTCATTTTTATGTTTGTCACTCTTAAGTGTTTCAGAAGATTGAATGAAACTGAATACTAGTAAAAGATAACTTAGTTTTTCTTTAAATGCATCTTTAAATTAAGGTTTGTTTGTTTTTTTTAGGAAGAAAAATAAGTTCCAAACCTACAACGCCCTTTGTGAAAAAGGGATTCCCTTATAAAACCTAAAATAATGGGGCTACACTTACAGCTGCCTTCAAGTGTCTTGCAAAAACTTGTAGTAAGTCTTCACAGCTCTGTGGAGGAATTTTGCTCCGTTCATCTTTGCAAAATTTTGTAATTCAGCATCATTTGATGGTTTTAAGCATGAAGAACATTTTGAAGGTCATGCCACCATATCTCAATAGGATGGCGTGTCTTGATTTTATTTTTCTTCAGCCATTTAGAGGTAAACTTGCTGGTGTATTTTGGATCATTGTCCATCTGCAAAACCCAAGTTCCTTTCAACTTGAGGCAATTATCAGTTGGCTAGATGTTCCTATTCAGGATTTATTTGGTAGACAGCTGAAATTTTAGTTGTATTTCTCAAGGAAGTCATTCAGGTCATAAGAGCAAAGAGCCCCAAACCATCAAACTACCACCATCATATTTCTTTAATTTTCTGAAATATGGTGTTGAATGAAATATGGTGGAGACATGAACACCAACGCAAATAAGACCTGCAGTTCTTTGGATATTGCTATAGGGCCTTTTGCAGCACTCCTAGTGTAACTTTGGTCAGTCAGCTGCTTAAAGGTTTATCACTGTTCTGTGTTTTTACCATATGTAAATAACGGCTCTTACAGTGGTACAATGAAGTGTAAAAGCTTTAGAAATACCTTTGTAACCCATTATAGGCTTTTGGATCTCTGTTTGTTCTGGAATTTCTTTGGACACAAGTATGATGTCTGATTTCTGAGGATCACTTTGTCAGGGACATCCTGTTTTCAAGATTTCTTAATTGAAAACTGGTATGGCCGTAATCAGGCCTGGGTGTGGCCATAGAGAAAGAGAAATCAGGTATAATAAACCACAGGTATGTAGTAAATGGAGAGCAATCACTTTAGATTTCTCTCCCCTTTACAAATAAAACCTATTTTTTGGTTCACTGGTGTGGTTTTTGACTAATCTGCAAATTTGCTTGAAAATCTGAAAGACTTCAGTGTGACAAACGCGCAAAAGTTAAGGAATTAGAAAGGGGAAAAACACTTTCCCCTTTTTAAATGCATAGGTTTGAAGTAGTGATGGAGTGCATACATTTCACCTTTTTTGTGCTACATTACAAGGAATTACTATAGGACACAGTTTGCCTCAATTCAGTCTGTTCAAAAAAATTTTAATGGTCTCGGTCAGAAAGTGGGTCAAATGTCTGATCACATTTGGTCTTCTTTTACTGCTTTCATTTTTTGCACATCTGCTTTTAATTTTGGTCTGGAACAGATATTGGAATGCTTTGACAATGCTGCCCCCAAGTGGAATATTATCTTCACGACAACAGTTTTGGTGTGGTCTCATTTTACTTGACCTCCTGCACACACTGGTTTGTAGAAAAGTCATTTTAATCCTTAAACCCCTCTGGATTAGGTAATGCTAAAACCACAATAAACTGCACACTGAAGAACATCAGTGTATTATCTTAGATTTTATGTGATAAACTAAAACAACAAGGGAAAGGATGTATGTTTTAATAGTTTCTCTCAGATGCCTAAATACATTCATGTGAAAACATGTCACTGAAAGAGTGCATAGAGTCTACTTGTGTGTTTTAACATTATTATAAATCCAATTTCTGGTGGTGTAACCTGACAATTTAACAGAGGCAGCCAAATCAGGGACCAATGCTGCACTAAGGGGTGGCCAAAAATAGGCACCGGAACCATTCAAGGCCAACCAGCAGGAAAAGGAACGAGCATATAGATATTTTCAAAATAAATTACTAAACACAGATAAGTTTTTTGTTATAACCCTTGCTAATAGGTTTATCCAAGCTGTCTAACTCAAGTGTAATGGATGAAAGTGGAACGAAAATTGCTAAGCCTGTATTTGCTGTGCATGTTTACTTCTAGTGTTTATGAATAGAAGAGGAAGAGCAGGTAGGTATGCTCCTATGCATGTACAGTTATTCAAAAGGTAACTTGGGATTTTCTTTACCTTAATTGCCATAAAAATTATAAACTATGCCTACCCCTACAGTGAGTTAGAGAACAAAACCTCGCAATTAAATACAAAAAAATAAATCTGTTAAAAACAAATTATGTAACAATGCATCCGTTCTATTCACTGAAAAGTTGAAAATAAGCCTAAATACATATATTGATAAGTATGAATACTCATGTCAGGTAATCATTCATACTAGTGGAGCTAACTACAGCAGAACCACCCTGCATTGCACTGTTTGCCTCACTTTCAATAGGAAAATAATGCAGGATTACTGCATCAGAAACAGTTACATTTACTCAGCTACATCTACTTGAGAAACTTTTTTTTTTAAAATAAGAAGTACTTTTAGGAGTAGTTTCATCTATTTTTTTTACTTTTACATGAGTAAAGGTACTATAAGTCTCACTATTCTTACTTGAGTAAATTTTCTGGATGCTTCATCCATTGTGAATAAATTCTCTTAATGAAAACAAGCTTGTTTGAAACAAATATGCACAATTAAGAGAAACACTTTTTTCTTTTTTGTACTCAAGGTTTATTGGTTATTTCCCATCTGCTGAGTCTGCCAATGTAAACAGTATACTGTAATTTGAACTATCCTACATAATATACCTATTGCATTTGCAAATTTATAAATAAAATCAAAGTACTTTGAAGAGTGTTCATTCCACTTATTTTTATTGTGTAATCACTGTTTCTTTTATGTTTATTTTTAGCTTATTCTCCGAAACCCCAGAATTTGCATACCACCTAATATTTTGTGCAATTTTACATTATTTTGTAAAATATTAAATACATTGTTATGATCCTGGTGAGTAAGTAGATCAGTTACTCAGTACCCAATTAGCCTTGTTGCCAAATACTTTTTTCATCTTCCTTGAGTATTTTCTTTAAAGGCTACTTTTTACTTTTACCCAATTATATTATGATGATGAAGTAGTACTGATCTTACTTAAGAGCAATTTTTGGAGACTCTACCAACCGCTGATCATAAAACAAATAGACTCATGAAAAGTTTATTCCGCAAAGCTGCAAAGGCAATCATCTCCTTGATGGCAGTAACTTAACGTCCCTCCTAGAAATCCACTACACCTCCAGCCCATTTCAGCACAAGCTGCACTTTGTGTAAATACTACATGCTACAATACATCTCTTTAAAAGTAGAAATAATATTGTTTTTGTTTTTTGCTTTTCTGGGGTGATGAAGATTTTATTGATCTGTGTGTAATGCTTAATTCATAGTAGATCAGGAAAAGTTTGCTTTTGAATGGAAACCTTGTATGTCTAAAACCATTCCTTTTAGCTTGTCTGTCTATATTAACCAACATGATCTGTTATTTTCACAACATTTGTGAGACACTTTTTTATAAAGTAGGGCATTCATTCATAAAAAGTTCATTTAAATTCTAGAAATCACCTTTCTGCCCAACAGCAATGATGACTTGCATGGCAGCATTCTATAACCAGCAACTGTAGTATCTAGGCTAGAGCTGTCAGTCTGGTAAATAATCTGGTTGTTATTCGAAAATTGTAAGCTGTTTTTTGAAGTGCAACATAAAACTGATTAAAACTAGACTAAAACCTTTTAAGTTTTAGTCCATTAAAACTGGACTAAAACTATCAAATATCGTAATGACTAAAATGTGACTCGGAATAATAATAGTTTTTGACGACAACTCAGACTAAATCTAAGATACCTGTCAAAAACAACACTGCTGTCCATTAACTTTTTATTATCTAAAATGTCTGATAAGCCTCCTGTTATTACCCCCATCAAGAAGTATGTTTTCATCTGCATTTGTTTGTCTGTCTGTTTTCAAAATAACAAAAAGATCTATAGACAGAAGTTACTGAAATTATCAGAGAAGGTGAACCTTATGCCAAGAAACAACAGTTTGGGTGATGATCCAGATACAGGAATTTAAAAAAAATATTCTTTAATATTATTTTTCAGTTCTCCCCTAAACCACAGGGATGGAGCAGTGACTATTGATTTTTTTTTTCAGGGGTCAGGGCACCTGCCCATAAGGGCCCTTTTGAGGCCCCATATATGCAGTAAAAACCAAAAGCTTGGACACACCTTCTCATTCAAAGAGTTTTCTTTATTTTTACTATGAAAACTTATGACTATGAAAATTGAAGATTCACACAGACCTAAAATTGCCCCCAAAAAACAGGTACTAAACAGTTAACTGGTTTGGTAGATCTGGGCCTCCATTGCTCTGGTGCTTAGGGTCTGCTCCTGTGAAGCCATGATGCG